CCATGTCTTGGGAGTTATGTTGCCTTTGTGTCTTCTCCAGGACAAACCGCTGACCGGTCGCAAAGCTGATGTTATTAAAGCTGCACATTTATGTGCCGAGGCAGCTCTTCGTTTAGTGAAGCCAGGCAATCAGGTGAGGGATTATAACCTTTGAATAGTTTATTCCACCTAAACACGTTGATTAAAGGGGTTATAATTATTTAGCCTTTTGAGATTATTTGTCCTATTCATTCCCCTTCTTCTCTGCCCCCCCCATCTTTACGTTTGTTGATGGTTAGACACTGTTTTGCTGAGTCTGGTGTGTGTGTGTGTGTGTATATGTGTCCAAATATTCTAACCGAGGAACAGCTGTAATAAAAAGAAAAATTCTTTGAATTTTTACTTCACCGCAGAATACGCAAGTGACGGAAGCTTGGAACAAGATTGCTCAGTCTTTTAAGTGCACTCCCATAGAAGGTGAGTGATGTGGCTAATTCTGGTTTGAAAATCTTGGTTACATGCCCTCATTTGTTCTGGTTCTTTTAGGCCAGGTTTACTGTGCAATGGTTGTGTTGGCCTGTGCCCAGCTCACTGGGTTTTGGATATCAACCCAATTAGCATTCCAAGGAAGTTGCATCAAAGTGCCAAAGTATATTCGCTCCAGTTATGAAGACTTTCTTGTTAAATCTGGGTATTTGATTACACTTGCTCTGGAGTTACACGGTGTCGGGTTTAACCACAAACAATACGAAGTGGGTGCATAATCATCTTGTGTTCCCATGGAGAACATACTTGTGTGTTTCTTTCCTTTTTTTTAAATATATATGTATATACAAACTAGCTCCCGTATTGAATTCTGATTCGAGCACGCCCACAAACGGAGCAAAAGCCTTTTTTTTTTTCTGTGTCTGGCAAGTTCCTGAATTCAACGGGTCGATTTATTTCATTTTACCAGGAATGCTGTCACATCAGCTGAAGCAACACGTAATCGATGGGGAGAAAACCATCATTCAGAATCCCACAGACCAGCAAAAGTAAGTCTATGCCAGTCCTTGAAGGGAGGGTGTAAAATACCTTGAGTGTTTTTCCTTTTCTCTCTTTCCCCAACCCCTCCCAGCACAATAACTATAATTATTTGTGTAGCAAGCTTTGAGAACTTGACATGAGATTCTACAGAAATGCATATTTTTCTTCTTACTGGATTGAATTGTTCCCAAGACGCTATCCTGCGGGATGGGTGCTATATAAATTCAAAGTTTCTGTTGGGGGAAATTGGTCCTTTCACCTGATGCAACTGGAGATCAATACATTTTACACCCAAGACTTGCGTGGCATCCAGTTTCCAGCCCAAGTAAAGTTCCAAATCAGTTGCTGCGTTCGCCCACAGAATACAATCCTGCGATCAATCCTGCAAAGTGCTTTGAGACATCCTCTCGATATGAAAGGCGCTGAATTAAATGTAAAGGTGATTATTGTTGTGTCTCCGCAGTACATGATCTGCAGAAAACCTGGTTGTCACGAGGACACATGTAGTTATGTCTGTGACTGTGTTCCTGTGTTTGTGTGTAGGAAGGACCATGAGAAGGCGGAGTTTGAAGTGCATGAAGTTTACGCTATTGATGTGCTGATCAGCACTGGGGAGGGCAAGGTGAGGACTTGATGCTGTGTTGAGGGCCCCCTATTAACAATGTTGCTGACTGTCAGCTAACGGTCATTACCTGTTCTCCACCTGTTAGTGTGGAAGGAGATTGACTTTGGTATGATGTCAGAAAGAACATGCCTTGTAATGATTTAACGGTTGCAAGTTACTCCCATTACCCTCCCTCCTGGGGGCGGGGGAAAGGGATTTGTGTGGAGGTGAAGCTTGAGCAAATATTTATTGCGAAGGTTGTAACTATTCAAGCGTTCCCAAAAAACGTTCTTTATCAATTGCATTTTTGCAGGCAAAAGATGCTGGTCAGAGGACAACTGTGTACAAAAGGGACCCAACCATTCAATATGGTTTAAAAATGAAAACATCCCGTGCCTTTTTCAGCGAAGTTGAAAGGCGGTTTGATGCCATGCCATACACCCTGAGGTATGTTTGCTGCTGAAACCCTATAACAATGATCTGTTGCAAATTCAACTGAGTTTGCAGCTTTTCCACCCGACCCTCCCTTCCTTTTAAGTCCATTGACTCTGGCATTGTCTTTAAACCTGAGCGGTTGCACTTACAGGGAAGTTTTATTTGAGCTATAGAACAACAAATTTACAGTACAGAAGATGGCCATTCAGCCCATCGTATCCATGCCCACAAAATATACAGTTGATTCACTTTACAGTATATTCTGTGAAATGCTTTGAGAAGTCTCAAAGACATGATAATGCACAACATCAAATGCAAGGATTATTACTATTATTCTGCCGGCTCTTTGAAAGAGCAATCTGTTCAGCCCTGTTTACCTATCTTTTCTCCATATCCATGCAAATTACTCCTTTTATCCATCTGGTTCCCTCTGAAAGCTAATATTCTGCCTTGACCTCCACACCCAGACAGGACATTCCACATCCTAACAACCCTCTGTGTAAAACAAAATCCTCCTGATCTCCTCTGCTAATTATCTTTAAATTGCCCTCTAGTCACTAACTCACAGAAGCTGCCACTTGGGACGTCCTCTTGATGTGAAACACGCATTACGAATGTAATTTGTTTTTGTCTAGGGCGTTTGAGGATGAGAAGAAAGCCAGGATGGGAGTGGTGGAATGCGCCAAACACAAACTTCTTCAGCCGTTCAATGTACTGTATGAGAAGGAAGGTGAGATTGCCCTCGAGTCACTAACCTGAACCAACGCATATCAACACCCAGGCATCAATCTGGAGACACAATCGTATAAAGCCATCGGCCCATTGTGTTTGAGCCACACTTGCTCCTGCATTTGAAACGTCTACTCTTGATCCATTTATCCAGTTCTCTTCTAACTGCTGTTCTGGACACACTCTGCCAATTGTGGTGAATCGTGAAGTGTTCCATATTCAGGCAACCACTTGGCTTCTTAATAAGCCAGTGCGAGAAATACTTGTCGGTTTAGATTTGTTTTGCTTTTACAGCTGTCTGTCTTGAGCCATTGATGGAAAAGGCTACCTGTGGTCATTTCAGCACGTCTTTTTCACCTCCATTCATTCTTTAAAAGGTTCTGCTTATCCGTGTGTCCCTCGGCGCTTTCTTATTTTTAAGCATGGCTGTTTATGACATGTTACTGCGTGCAAATTGGCTGCTATGTTTGTATACAAATCCATGTCACTACACCCGACAGCAAATACCTGTGAAGTGCTTTGAAGCATTTAAAATGCTGTATCAAAAGCAAAACGATTGTATTACCTACCGTCCTGCCTCCCTAGACTGACCACCCCTGGCAAGGGAAATTGCTTGCGTAAATGCAAATTGTAAGCATGAGAGCTGCTGCTAGTTTTACCTGATGCCCCTTCTGTGTTGTGCTTGCTATTACAGGAGAGTTTGTGGCTCAGTTTAAGTTCACGGTCCTACTCATGCCAAATGGCCCGATGAGAATCACCAACGGTCCATTTGAACCGGAACTCTACAAGACTGAATATGTCGTGCAAGATGTTGAGCTAAAGGCAAGTACAATACAAGATTACATTTGCCTTTCACATTGGGAGGATGTCCCAAGGAACATGAGATGGTCTTTCAGTAAACGGTAAATGCTGTGAAGCTCTTTGAGAGACATCTTGGTGACATGAGGCTTGTATCTAGAAGACGTGAAAAGCGCTATATCAAATGCAAGGATTATTATTTTATTATATCAAACACGAGAATTATTATTCCACGATTACATTGCCCATGTTCGGTGCTGTAAGTTGATCTCGCTACTTTGCCTCCCCAGGCCCTGCTCGAACGCTCAGCGAGCCGAAAGGCTCAGAAAAAGAAAAAGAAGAAGGTAAGTAATGCATTCTCTCGATTTCCTGAGCGTTTGTTTGGAGAGTATAGCGCTGTGTGGTATGAGAGTTGGCGTTACTGGAGAGTTGGCACGCGGTATTCTTGTTCTGTCCTTGCTGCTGCAGCTGTCAGTTCTTGCCTTTATGTTGCCAGGGAGAGCATCACCGACTGATGCACCCAACATTTTACCTATTAAAGGTCATTTGACCCGTTTGATCTCACCCTTCTACAGGGTGACCAAAAAGTCGTGATGACTACCCTATCTTAAATATACATATATATATATAATCATCTCTTTAAGACTTAAATATTGTTATAGTATTGTGACTTTTTGGTCATCCTGTTTGGCTCTGATTTAGGACATGGCTGTTGCATACCTGAGCTAATTCCTTAAACGTCTTTCTCCAAAGCCAACAGTTAAGTTTCCTGGCAGTGGTGGTGGTGTGGAATAAAAACCATAGACCACACAAATAATGAACAGTAATCAGTACAGGTTTTATTACGAGCTTTATTACAAGCTTTATTACAAGCTTACCGGTAAGGGGAAGCGTCCAATCAGGTTCCCAAGTCACCCGAGATGGTACTTCCAAAGAATGTATAAAAACAAAGGGTTATATTGTTTTTCTTAACAGATTATGTGGCATTTTACAACCAATGATTATTTCTTACCATGACCCGTGACAATTCTGCAGCATTTTCACATCCAATCATAGCAATGAACAGTTTTCCTTTGTCCGCTATAATTTCACATACTCATTCAGAGTCATGCGATCTTACCTGACCCTGAAGAGTGGGTACCATCTGATTTTAACAATCATCTCTTCTCGTCTGGAAAAAGGTTGGAATGTCTAAGACCGTGTAAAGACCTTGAGTAAGACCATTGTATAAGGTTATGTGGCAACACCGTGTACGTGCTTCAATCATCTATCACGTGAACCAACCATACACGTCGTCAGGGTCGTATAACCTCTGTAGGCTGATGGTACTTTTAATGTCCACAGTGTGTTCCAGAGCCCTTGATACTTTGGTTCATACACATCCTTTTAATAATTTCGTTGTCCTTTTGGAGGAAATAGCATCAATGTACTTAAGAGAATTTTATGAATATACAAGGGAGAGGCACTAGATGGGGAATAGGAGGGTTGGTGGGGGGCTTGTTTGGAGCATAAACCGGCACAGACTAGTGTGCCGGATAATTCCACCCGCGCCCCCACCCACCCCCCGCTCGGCGTGAAACGCTCTGAGACATTCTCCCAGTGCAAAGGGCGTTAAATAAATGCAAGTTGTTGTAGTATGTAACTCTGATTTCCTCTCCAGGCTTCCAAAAACGCAGGTGATGCCACCGCCGCTGACTCAAATGAGAAGAATGCGGCTGGAGATTGATCTCGTTACCATCGCCCCAGAACTGACCTGACCTTTCAGCTAGTGTCTGTACCCAACAGCGAGATCCAGATGCATTTTCTTCCCCCCCCCACCCCCGTGCTGTTTTAGAGCCCAGCTTGCGGGGGACCTTTCTACCAGCTCCTATATACTTACACCGAGGGAAACCACCTTAACCTGTGGTTACAACTGCAGAACTACTTTAAAAAAAAAGTCAAAAAAAAAAAACACTTTGTGCTATTTGTATGGTTTTTGTATTTTCTATCCAAATACGGTTTGCATCCTGAAGTGAGAGTAATTGGTGTTGATGATGGAAAGGTATCTTCAATTTATACTCTTCTCCTCGCCTTCTTTCTCTTCCTTCCCCACCACACTCCCTCCATTCCACTCATTTCCTGTCTCTCTTCCATTCCCACCCCCACTTGCCTTTTGCAGCGAGGTAATTTCCTCAGGTGTTGGTGCAGCCAACTTTTCCAGCTGTTTTCTTGTAGCCAGGCAGCATCTTAACCGCCACATACTGACCGATCAACTGGGCGGGGAGAGATGTCCCCAAATTAAACCATTTGAACCCATAAACTGTGCAGATTATCGGGATTTCTGTTTGCATTTGACGGCATCTTTGTATTCTGCAACATTAAAACGTTGCCAACTTTCCAAAATACCTGTTGTGGTTGTACAAAACAAAAAAAGACATATAATAATAAATTGGCTAAAGACCCGATTGTATAATTCTCCAGTAGAGTTTTCAGTAGACTCGAAACAGCTCAGGATAAATTGAAACGTGTGTTGCAGAGATTAGTCCATCTCCAGACGGTGTGGAAAGATGATTTGAGATCTGCTCGGTGTTTGGGGATAATTTGACGACAGGCCAAATACAAATTACCGCGACAAGCACCACCAGCTTCTAGTTCCAATCTTTATGCACTCTGGGCTCATGAGTGTTTTTTTTGTGAGGGAGGGAGGGGATGAGGGTGGGTGAGTGGGCAATGGGGAGAATTCAGGTTTGCTGATCTGGTTTTTGGGGCGGTTCCAGCGCTCGCGGAGCCGGGCTGGCAATGCTGCTGCAGATTTCCGCTGTCAATGCAACAAATTGAAAACTCGTTCCGCCCAATATCGCCCTTTGGCGTCGTTCCAAGAGTGACTTGTCGTTCTGTCGGGAACCTCTGCCCTGATTGAAAGCAAAGGAAGTGTGTGCCGCGTGCAGGAGAGGCTGAAGTAAGGACTCACTCCTGTTGTACCAGCCCTTGCGTCAATGACCGTGTGATGTTTGTGTGTGAGATAGGAGCTCAGTGTAACACCATGATTTGTTTTGGGTCACTGTGGGGGATTAAATAAAATAACTGAATATTAATATTGCATGCTTGTCGTGTTTTACATACATTTATTGCTGCTTCCATGGATCGTCTGGCCCCCACCTCTCCCTTGCTTCCTTCGATGTCCGTTTCAAGACTTTCCTCTTTGACCTTGATCATCCTCCCATCTCCCATTCCGCTTGCCCTCCACCCCTTTTGACTCCCAATTCCTGTGCAGTGCTTTGGGATGGCCTCCTGGAGTGAAAGGTGCTATAAAAATGCAATTGGTGTGTGGGTGGGGAGGATGAGGACAATTGTTGCCACAACAGTTGTCCCAGCTGATTTTGGGGGGTGGGTTGTGTCAGTTGGGCTTCTAATGTGTGCTGAAACCCAGTGCCCATCTTAAGAACACCCAGACCAGACCAGCCTAATTCCCTTTGCCTACTCAAAAAAAAAAAGCTGACCACTTACATACACGTCACCACACTTGACGACAATTATCTGACGAGGTTCAATACATTCTCGGTGTTACGGGTGCTACACCAAATGCAAGGATTATGATTTTACGAAGGGCTTTGAGACTGGCTCTGTGAGTATACATAAATCAATTCAATATGATGTAAATAACTTCCAACTGCACGTTAATGCTCCACAAGCCTTATATTCAGGAAAAACCCTTCCGAGTCATGGTATTTAGTTTATGCTTCGCTTTCCTTTGGAAACTGAATGATCTTCTCTCCTCTCTCAAACCCTTCCGTGTCTGTGAGCGCCTGTAGCAGTGCCCCTCTTAGCCACTGCTCTCGAGGACGCAGCTTGAGCCGTGCCATTGCCCAGGAACACAGGAGGTGAGAGCCCAGCCATGACTGCCGAGGGACAGGTGAGAGGTCCAGGTTCAAAGGCGGGGTGGAAACCTTGGGCAAATTTCCTTTCTCCGCCCGGCTGTTGATCTCCGGGACGCGACTTGGCGCGAAGGGCGCGGACATAAATGCTGTTACACTGAGCAGTGCGTTGGGGAGTCGATGGGTGGATCGCTTTTCTGGGTGTGTGCAATAATCTCATCCCAACAGCAAATAAATAAAACAATAATAATGCGGTCACTCGGCCCACGACTGTTTCATACACAGTCACTACGCTTTACAGTCTTATCACAAAATCCACAGTCACTACACTTTAGCGACGTATCACAAAATCCATAGTCGCTATACTTTACGGCGTATCACAAGACCCACAGTCACTACACTTTGCGGCGTGTCGCAAGACCCACGGTCACTACACTTTGCGGCGTGTCACAAGTCCCACAGTCACTACACTTTGCGGCGTGTCACAAGACCCACAGTCACTACACTTTGCGGCGTGTCGCAAGACCCACAGTCACTACACTTTGCGGCGTGTCGCAAGACCCACAGTCACTACACTTTGCGGCGTGTCACAAGACCCACAGTCACTACACTTTGCGGCGTGTCGCAAGACCCACAGTCGCTACGCCCCACGATATAATCTGGGAAGCGCTTTGAGACGTCCCAACGACGTGATAAGGCGTCGTATCGAATGCCAGGATTACTATTATTACTATTACTATTGTTATTACTACTATTATTACCATTACTGCTGCAGGTGAGAGGCAGCGCCCACCTGTACCTGTCTCGTGGCCCCTCTCACGTGACCGGGGGGGCGGGGCTCCGCCCGCCCACGTGGCGCTCGCCGGAAGTGCGTCAGCCTCCTTCCGGCCGGCGGCGGGTGGGCGGGAAATGATGGCGGCGGCTCACTATGTGACGGACGAGACGGGTGAGTGCGAGGCTCTTCAGCCCTCTCCTCGCTCCCGGGCGCGGGGTGATGGTGGGGGGAGGTGAGAGGAGACGCGGGGGGAGAGAGAGAGAGGGAGGGGCCGAGGCCTGACCTTCCCATTAACCTCCTCCCCCCCTCACCACACTCCCCCCCCCCCCCCCCCCTCTGCCCGGGCTGGGGCCCGCCGACGGGGGGGAGGGGGCTTCAGGCGAGCCCGAGGCTTCGTTCGCGGCCCCCAGTGGAGAGCAGGGAAGGGAGGGGAATGTGATAGAGCTGAGCTGACTGAAACGAAGCCCCCAAACTCCCCCCCACCTCCCCACTTCCCCCTCTCGCCCCCCCCTCCCCCCACCTCCCCACTCCCCCTTCTCCCCCCCCTCCCCCCTCTATAAAATGGGTCACTTCACACTGAAAATTAGTGACCGGTTCTGAATCGCTCATTGTCATAAAAAAAATCATAATTCGGACACTCGATGACCCCCTCCCCCACTCCTCTCCAACCCCCCCCACCCCACCCCCCCACTCCTCTCCAAACCCCCCAACCCCCCCACTCCTCTCCTACCCCCCCCCCACCCCCCCCACTCCTCTCCTACCCCCCACCCCCCTCACTCCTCTCCAAACCCCCCACCCCCCCCACTCCTCTCCAAACCCCCCACCCCCCCCACTCCTCTCCTACCCCCCCCCCCCCTCCGCTCGCCTTCCCCCCCGACCGCTTGTGCGGGGGCGCTGCTGCGCGCGATTAGTTGTCTGCCCGCCCCGTTTCGCCCACAAAATATACAGTCACGACACCTCACGGTTACATGTCCCGTGAAGCGCTTTGAGACGGCTCGAAGACGTGATAAGGCGCTGCGTCAAAATGCGAGGATTACTATCGCTATCATCTAATGGGGATTTTCTTATTGTTTAAACCCTTTACAATGAATTGGTGCCATTGAGTCCCATTGAAATCCCGAGCACATCGCTGCCTCCCCCCCCCGGCCCCCCCCACCCCCGCCATCGCCCCGTTTCCCCTGACAAGCCACTGCCTCACTTGATATACATTTAAAAATAATAATTTAAAAAATGACTTGCTGCCATTTCAGAATGTGTTTTTTTCCTCCCCACTCCTTTCACGCGCCCTCACGGTGCGTCAGCCGCGGCTCGATCGCTTGCCCTCTCGCCTCCCGAGTCAGAAAGTTGCGGGGTCATGCCCCCACGGCGGGTACTTTGAGCACCTTGTCTACGCTGACCCAACAGTGCAGTATTCAGGGGGAATTGTCGGAGGTGCCGCCTTTCAGATGAGACGTTAAACCGGTCCCATCTGCCTGTTCAGGTGGACGTTAAAAATCCTGCGACGCTATTCAAAAGGGGAAGGTAGTTTCTCTCTCCCGGTGTCCTGGCCAGTAATCCTCCAAATAAAATTGGTCACTCACTCCGTGGTTGTTTGTGGGCATTGCTGTTGCTGCTGCATTTCGCCCACTGAATGCACAGTATATCCTGCAAAGGGCATTGAGATATCGTGATGATGTGATATGCCGCTATATCAAATGCCAGCATTAGTATTATTTTCTCCTGGATCGGTATTATTTATTTTCTGATTGTCTGCGGCGTTGTACTTTCCTGAAGGCAGTAACTAATGCTGACATGTGGTTCTGTAGGAGTGAGTGGCCTTTGACTACTTCACATATTGGCCATTCTGACAGCTGACATGTGTCAGCCTGCCTCAGTCTGTAGCACCTTCTCCTCTGAGTCAGTAGGTTGTGAGTTCAAGTCTCACGTCGGGGACTTGGAACTCATATTATCTTAGATGGCGCTCCAATGCAGTGCTGGAGGTATACTGGATTGTTGGAGGTGTCATGGTTCACATGAGACATTAAACCAGGGCTCTGTCTGTCTGTTCAGGTGGAAGCTAAAAGATCTTGTGGCACTATTCAAAAAGAGATGGTTTTGGCATGTGGTCTTGGCCAACAATCTCCGAAATAAAATGTTCACTGAGTCTATGGCTGTTTGTGGGACATTGCTGTGAGCAACGTGGCTGCCACTGTGTCTCACAAAACTGCCATTCCACTTTACAATATATCCTGATTTCAAAGTACATTGCTTTGGGATGTTCTCCTGACGTGAAAAGTGCTATACCAAATGCAAGGATTGTTATTATTTACATGTGTGTCTTATCAGAGTGCAGATTCTTTGACCACAGTGGTATCACAGCCAAGCCTTATTCGGTCCTTACCCCACACAACTCATATAATAATAATGTTTTGTGGTGGTGTTTCTATTTAAGAATTAGTTTAATGTTTAAAATTCCAATGGCCTAGCGGTGGGGAGACGCGGAGACCAGCAGGAATGAGAGATCGGGAGTGCTGCTAAACCACAAAGTTATAAAACGTAACGATGATAAGAGCTTTTCACGTCCACCTACGCCTGTTGAATGCGCTCAAATGTCAAAATTATTATTATTATTGCTGCCAATAAATGTTGCGTATTTCTAAGGACTGTAGCTGGAATGATCTGGCCATCGATTTGAGATTTTCTTTGACATTTTTTGCTCCAAGCTGCACATGTTCCACATTGAAATCTGAATGAAGAATCTTGATGTGAGAAGGTGTGTGTGGAAATGTGTTATTGACTATCAAATGGTAGGTTGTGATTTCCCACACGTTGAGTTGTTGACCTCAACCATTGCCTTTGTCGGAGATGCAGAGGGAAGCTTTACCTTTATCATCACCTAGGCATGGGTTTCTGCCTGATTCTTATCTCCCCCCCCCCCCCCCCCCACCACCAAAACAACCCCAGGAGCGCTGCCCTCTAATGTCACTTCGCTTCCTCTCGTACATTACCTAGTGCCATGTTGTTATCACAAGCAGCGTGGTCATTGGGGGCTGCTCTAATGCCCTCGCACCGTGAAGTGATGGGAACGTGTGCTGTGGGCATATCAGTCACTGGGGAGGTGAGGGAGGCATCTGTCAAGCGGAGGCCGGACAATTCCCTGCAATGAGGGGTGGGGGGTGAGAGTACAGGTCCGCTAATTCTATTCGAGCTTGACATTTTTTTGTTGCCAATTATTTTCCCTTCTCTCCCGAAGGTGCTGTTTCCACGGGTGATGCCAGCCCTCCGGTGCCTCGCCCAAGAAGTGACTCTCCAAATATGAGCCTAGACAGTAAGTGTCGGCAGGCTGTTTGACCAAAGGGGGTATCGCTTGACAACCACACACGCACACCCTCCTGCAGAGGGCACTGGATAGTGAGTCGGAGTGGAACCCTTGATTTCGCCCACACAGTATACAATCAATTCACTTTACAGTGTATCCTGTGAAGTGTTTGAGACGTCTCAAATGCAAGGATTATTATTATTGGTTGATGTTTTTGTTCCCCCCCTTGTCCCCAACCCAGACAGTGCCAATACCTATTGTAGCACTCCCTCCATTCACTCTGGTTGAGATCAGGTAACTCAGCACAGGCCATGAATCGAGTCTGAGGGGCTTATGGTCTGTGGGTTTAGGCCGCACTGGGGTGATCCCCATCAGGGGAGCACCCGGTTGTCATCATTTTATATAACACTGTCTTGTAGTTTGTTTTTTTCTCCTCTTCATTGACTGCATTGGAGATTACTTTCAAACTATACAGTCAATTCACTTTCCAGTATATTCGGAAGAGCTTTTAGCCGTCACAAAGATGTGATAAGGTGCTATATCAAATGCAAGCATTAATATTAGTTTACTTGCTGGTGGGCTGCCCCATTGTGGAGCTGTAGCGCTCTGGGATGCCACCCTGTGAGGGGCGCTATATAAATGCAAGTTGTTGTTGCAGTGAAAAATAAAATAAAAAGTTAAATACCTTCAGGTGGGGAGGAGAAATGTTGGAGGGAATAAAAAAATCAACCCTTTTTGGGGGGAAATGCAGCAAAACCATCAGAACCAAACCGTGTGGGTTTTTTTTCACCTTCATAGATTTTCCTTTTAATGTTTATAGGCAAATATATTCCTGCCACACAGCGCCCCGACGGGACCTGGAGGAAGCCAAGGAGGGTGCGAGACGGATATGTTCCTCAGGAGGAAGTGCCAGTGTAAGTAGCAGCGTCCAGGAGCCAAATCTTAATAGGCGGAGTCCTGTAGGGTAGAGCACTCGCCTCACAAGCGAGAGGATCCGAGTTCGATTCCTGGGCGATTCAGGGCGAAATCTTCGGCAAGTTTCCTTACTGCAAACACCTCTGTTTACCTAGTAAGTAGGAACCTGGTTGTTAGACGATTGGCGGATTGTTTTTTCTAGGGGTAATAATCCCGCCAAAGAAAAAATAATAGCAATTTGGTCACTCAATCCAGGACTGTTTGTGGGACACTGCTGTGCGCATTTGGCTGCCGCGTTCGCCCACAAGATATACAGTCAATTCACTTTACAGTATATCCTGTGAAGTGCTTTGAGACGTCTCAACGACGTGATCAGGTGCTATATCAAATGTGAGGATTCTTATTATGAAAGGTGCTGTCTAGGTGCTTCCTCCCTTTCCTCCTTCAAGGCCGGTCTCAAGACCTTTCCCTTCAGCTCCCCTCTCGACTCTCTACCCCCTCCTTGCTCCCTCCCTTCCCTTCCCTCCCCTCACCCTGACTATTTCCCCCCTGCTCGGGTCCCGACCCAACTGTCCAGCACCTTGGGACGTCCTCCCTACGTGAAAGGCGCTCTATAAATGAAATCTTGTTGCTGTTGTTGTTGTGGGTGCAAGTTGTTGTGAGTGTTGAATGGAGTGATAAACTGATTCCCCTCCAAACGTGGAGCTTAATCCTGTCGCATTTGCTAATCTGAGGCTGTTGTTCTGTGGGTTTGTGGCACGCAGGTATGAAAACAAATACGTGAAGTTTTTCAAGAGCAAACCCGATCTGCCTCCGGGCCTTAACCCAGAGGAAGCCAACAAAGGCAAGCAGCAGCCCAAGCAGGACGGAGACACGGTCGGGCTGTCCAAGTCAGCCAAGAGAAATCTCAAACGCAAAGAGAAACGCAAGCAGCAGCAGCAGGAGAAGGGGGAGGGAGAGGCAGATGTGGAGGAGCTGAGCCAGTCACTGCAGAAGACTGCGGTCAGCGGCGGAGGTCACAGCCCACTGGGGCTGGGAGACTCTGAGACCAGTGAGAGGGCCAAGAAGATCAAGAACCTCAAAAAGAAACTGCGTCAGATCGACGACCTGCAACAGAAACTAGACTCTGGGGAGATCAAGCAGGCGACGAAAGAGCAGCTGGAGAAACTGAGCCGCAGGAAAGCCCTGGAGGAGGAGCTGGAAGACTTGGAACTGGATTTATAGGAATAACCTGCGCTAGGCCAGAGACTCTGGGAGAGAGGGCCAACCTCCCGCACTCACTCACTCACTCCAAAACGAACCGCCAAAAGAAACAGGCCGTCGCTGTTTCCAAGCCGAGGATTTCACCCACGTGGGCACTCGGTGCACTGGTCACGTCACGTCCTCTGCCTGTCTCCATTCTCAGTCTCATTCGTGTTGGACGGATTCTTTCGAAGGAAATCATTCCCAGATGAGTTAAGGGAGGGTGGGGGTGGGAGGTGGGGGGGTGGGAGGGGGGGGGGAGGGGGTGGTGTGTTTGTGTTTGTGGATTAACTCCCCTCTATTCTGTGGGCAGCACTTGGTATTTGGATTCTGTAACCTCAAGGGAACGCCTCTTCTGTGTAGCTTTGGAGTGGAACCTGGGGTCAGGCATGGCGATGAGAGACTAGGCTGTCCTCTGATGTTTCCTTTCACCCAGCAGAGAAACATCCAGCCACCAGCCAACCTGATAGAAATGTAAAGCCTTGTTCATTTTATTGTTAATCCCCTTCACTCTCCCTCAGTGTTTTAGATGATGGCTCTACGGAAGTGGGAAAGCGAGACAGTTAAGTTGCCAATTGGAAACAAACAGCGAGAGAGACAATCCACGTGTGTGATCTCCTGGTTGCCATGGACATTATTTCCTGGTCTATTATTTCGGTCATGGTCGCTCGACCTGCCGGATTCTTAGTACGAATGAATTTGGCGTTTACTGCTGGGCGACTGTTTGGTTTTAATAAAAAAGCATTTTTGTGCAAATTGTCAAAAGTGCGTACCCAGACGCCGGGAATCTTGGAAGAATTTCAAGAACTCACAACCCATGGACTGGCTTAAACAAACGTCCTCAAGTCTGTGTACACCGCGCCAACTCTTCCCGGTTGGATTGAGTTGCAAACACTCTGTGAATGCGGGTGGACTGCTGCAAGCGAAACTATCCTAAATAGTGAAGGTCTTTAAAGGTGCCCGTCTGTGGGGGAGAATGGAAAGGGGTTTGGTTGGGAATCAGCGTGGCTTTGGGCAGGGCAAGAAAACACGTACATCTGCCCTCACGCCAGCCTGATAAATCATTTTAAACACTCTGTGTGTTAAGGTGATGGGCAGAAGGGGGCATTTTTACACTGAGGCCCTGACATCCCTCCCAGCGCTGGCAGGTAAGCTTGTTTGGCCATGAGACGTAAAGTGGCAACCAACCGTGGAAAATTCACCATTTCACTCTTCCAGAAACCGAGTCTCTCGGCAGTTCTCAAAAAGAAACGGAAATTAAAACCCAATCGAAGAATTTTCTACCCGGGGTCTCGATTTAGTCAACAGTGCTTTAGCCAGGAGCAGCCAGAAATTGTCCCAATTCTTAAAACTCAGCCCGAGACTTGAAGCCGTTTTTCTGTGGAGTTTCTTTTAAGAACCGCAGAAGGAAGAGAAAAAAAACAAACGACCTCTAAGACGGGACTGAATCCCACAGTTTGCCAAATTCTGGACTCTCTTTTTAAAAAAAAAAAACCACAGGAGCAAATCTGGGCTCAGACGGAATTTCTCCCCGTTTAAATTAGAAGACAAAACACATTGTGTGTTAGGTACGCCGTGTGTTACTGGTTGGGATTCAATACGAGGAGCGAAGCACAGAGCGCTAGCTGGCTGTCCCAGGTTTAAAAGCTGTGTTCACTGAGCAGTTTTTAGACATCCGTTCACTGTAAAATGATCAATAGAAGCCCCCGGGGCAATGTCCTGTACAATTTAATTGACGGAAATATTTATTTTGACCAGATGAATTCTGAAAACAAATATTAGGAACCTGCCACTGAATGCCCTGAACCTGGGAAGGCTGAGGGAGACTCAGTGGGATCTTGCTGTTTGGGAGAGTAAGCCAGCGACACTGAAGGCAAACAAGACAACTTGCCATTAGCCCCTGAATCATTAATTACCTAACGAGTAGGTGGCCTAGCTGGACAGGCAGCAGTAAGCGTGTCGGAGTGTACTTTCAATGGCAAGCTGTGTGTGTTTTGACTGGTTAAACTCCAGAAATTACCCCAACGTCATAGAGTCCCCCAAGCCTCGGCTCTTGTCAACCTGCGCCTAATACTCTGCGGAATTCGGTAAGCAGGGTGCGTCCCTCTAGGGAAAGAGAGAACATGTTCTCCATTCCAGACAGGAAAATTTCCATGCGTGGGTTGCACGTGGAAGTCTCAGGCTGGTTTGGACGCTCTTTAAGCATGGTGATGGGTTTCCATGTGTGTCGAGACACCCAAGTGTCCCAAAAGTTTTTTTCTTTTGTTAGGGTTTATTTTTATGGATGGTTATTCGAGGGGTTTATTTGGAAATGGACCTTGATAAGGACCGGGTATATAAGAAATGCAGGGTTAGGAAATGGAACCTTAAAAGCACATTGGCTTGAGATGGAACAACAACAAAAAATTGCATCTAGCGCCAGCTGGTGAGAGGTGACTCTATGACGGCGACATTAAGACCACCGACCTCAAGGGTCTGTTACTCTCAACAGGTCCGTTACTTCCTAGCGTTCCGTTACTCCCAACAATTCATTACTCCCAACTCGCCTGTAGGACTCCCCTGAAGGGAATCGTGTGGAACGGCAACCCCCTAACGCACAACTTTTAAAAAGGGTTTTTAATCGTCTGCTCCAGTGTAATGCCGAACTCGTTCTAAGTGCATTGTTTGCGACTGATTTTTTTTTTTTACATTTGTTCTTTTTAAAAAAAAATGCAATAAGTTCTTCCAATTGGAAAAAGTCACAGTGGGTTTTTTTTTGGGGTGGGGGGCGGTGGTGGGTGGGAGGTGGGGGAGGCAGTGCCCGTTGTGTAAAGCGATGGGGTGGGGGCTGCTCCATGCAGTTCCTCCCGATGAACGGCAGTCGGCCTTTGCTCAAGGAAAAGAAGGAGGGATCACCTGAGACTTGTATGGTAGTTGTTATTCCTTCCACCCCATTAGTTTTGGGACCAGTTATACAGTGCCATACGGGGTGTCCACAAAGTCCACACACACAGTGCACTGACCGACAACTGAAACATGTGGAAGAATGATGATAATTGTATTTAGAAAGGTACTCAACTACTCAGTACAAGTGTTTAACTGTATTTGGATGGCCAGAGGACCTGTGTGCGTATCATCAGTTTCGCGGCAGATAATGATCCGTCGACATGTTCGGTGCCAAATCTTCTGTAACATGGATGGAGTGACGAAGAGAAATACATCTCCCACCCCACACCTGTTACAGAACAGCGATATGAGACGACGGAGGAGCTGGACCCTCCGCCGTAGTCTTACATCGCTGTTTTGTAACAGGTGTGGGGTGGGAGTGTAACAGGACTTTGTGGACACCCTATAATCCACCCCTTACAACTGCATCAGATGGTCAGCACATTTCGACTTGTGCGTTTCATAAAGCAAGTAGACTACGGAGCAAAGTAGCTCTGGTCTGTAGGTAGGTACTGAATTTGGACACGTGTTGGCAGAATAAAGGTGATGTAAAAAACAGGAGAGAAAGACCGTGTGGACAGAGATGTGGCTTAATGAACCCAAGTACTAAAGGCACCACCTGGTGTAGAACGGAGCCATTGGAGACCAGATCACCGCTGTGACCCCATTCCTGTGTTGGGTTAATGTCTGCCAGGACAGGGAGTTGGGAGTGATGTTATTTGTTTTTTCTACCACTCGGGACCTGTGTAGAGATAAAATAAAACGGTGCGTCTGTTCCTGAACTCTGTCTGATCACTATTTGTGTGTGTGTGTGATAGGGGGCGAGAAGGGGGGAAGGAGCAACTATGATGCACCCTCTCTCTCCCACCCACACACTACAGGCTAAGACCAGGTGGAATTTCGGGCTTGAGATGATCATAAATCTCAGGTGTTGAAGGGCATTAAATGAGGCCAAATATTGGGACCATTGAGAGAATCATCTGGTGTGTTGTTAAATAATAATAATAATAATAAATAAGAGATTATTGGCCAAAAACGGCAGCACTTGTGCCATGCTTCCGAAGCTCCACAACTTCACCTGTCCTTACGGTACAGGCTGACATTGGGGGTGGGTGGGGTGGCGATGGATTGGCGAGTGCTGTATCATTGGTGAGGACGTCTTCCGGCTGAGACGTTCACCGAAAGTCCCATCTGTGCCTGTTTAGGCAGATGTCAAAGAGCTCGTTGCTGTGCTATCGAAAAAGAGAAGAGACTCTCCTGGTGTCCTGGTGAAAGACACCCTCCCACCTCCCCTCCCAGATACATTTGGTCACTCGCCTCTTGGCTGGTTGTGGACCTTGCTGTCTTTGGGCCGGCGAAACAATCACCTGCGAGGCGTTTCAAAACTTTGGCGATGAACAACATACCCAACAGCATTCTCAATGATCCCAGCATAGGAGCGTAATTAAGCCGCTCAATACGTAGTGTTGGACAAAGTGGTTTTAAGCAGTGATAAGTTCAGGCCAATTGTACATTTGAGCTGCCTCTCAATGTAATAGTGTGTGATGAATTTATTGTTTCGCCCACAAAAAGGCACAGTCCCTTCGCTTCCCAGTAAATTCTGCGAAGCGCTTTGAGACATCTCAACGACGTGATAAGGAGCTGTAACAAATGCAGGGAGGGATTAATATTATTATTATTATTATTATTGTACCGCACTGCTACATCTGGTGCGTACCACACAAGATTTATCATATTCTAAGGACTGAAATTCCACCTGTTTTTAGCCCCCAGACCAGTTTGTCTTAAAATGTAAGAATTTTGCAAATTTTGTGCCTGAATTTCAGGCCTCTTTGACCCGATCTGCTACATTGATGGGAATCCTGGATAACTTGGGAGGAGGAAGTGGCAAAGAGCAGATCCGTTCTGTGTTGTTGCCCTCGGGGGGGGGGTGGGGGGGGGGGGGGGGTGCAAAAGGCATCATGTGCTTGAGGTGCTCCAGGATTAACAGTGAGACAGATGTCTTGTATAATAAATTGGTCACTCAATCCACGACTGTTTGTGGGGGACGACGCTGCTGTGCGCAATTGGCTGCCGCGTTTCGCCCGCAAAATATACAGTCAATTCACTTCACAGTGTGTTCTGTGAAGCGCTTTGAGACGTCTCGGAGACGTAATAAGGCGCTGTGTCGAATGCAAGGATTGTATTGTATTATTGTGTTGGTCGCTGGCCCGTGAGTGGCTTTAGAGCTGTGAGCAGGACCGGTTGGTGTCTCTCTGGCGGGAAACTGCCCTGAAACAC